GGGAACTAAAGGCCTGTTTTATGAGAGGTTTGAATCCAATAGAGTTGAGTAAAGAAGAGATGATAGCATGGCTTCAGACGTGGATCGGAATCGCACACAAAGTCGACAGTAATTATTAAAACACATTGACTTGAATTGAAAAAAGTGCTAATCGTTGAATAAATTGTCTGTTTTTGTCTAATAAAAATTGGACATAAAAATAGGTCAGAGTTTATCGCTATTACTTCACTGCCCGCTATTTCTGGCGTATAATAATCCCTCGAATTGGCGACAAATTCATTGATATAAAAAACACCACAAATTGTTACAAAAATTAGTCATTAATTAAAATATTAAAACGAAATTATTATTAAATATTTTGTAAGAAACGTGTGATCCATGAGACGAGATATTCACGGATTTGGTTTTCGTCTCATTTGTCTTTGTTTATCGAAACGCATTTCCATCTCTTCCAACACTTTAGGCGTATATCTGACCACAAGAACCACTTTGCCGACGGCCGCCTTCAGCAGTTCGACCGCTTTCTCGTGATTCTCTCCCTCGACGTTCACGCCGTTCACTGATATGAGTTGATCGCCTCTGCGAAGGCCTCCCTGTCTGTCGGCCACTCCGTCGGGGATGATCCGCGAGATATAGATCGGAGAGTTCTGTTCGCGTCCTCCCATCACATTGAATCCCAAGCCCTCATCAGTTTTGGGCAGTTCTATGACCCGCGGGTGTGAATGGCCTTCGGATGCGGCGAACACTATATGAACAACAAATCCACTCATTATATGGCGAACCATTCAATCGATGGACAACTGATGGCAATACCGGCGACCGTGGCTTTGGCTGTGGCCGAGGCCCTGATGTCGGGACTGCCGGCGATGTCGACCGTCTCGTAGACGCGTTCATAGACTTCGCGAATGGCGTTAAAGAACTCACTCTCGAGTACTTTCTGGAGTGAAGACAACTTCTGTACGGAGACATCGCTGTATGGGTTGGCATCGGACCAGAGGGTGAACACGTCAAAGAGGAAGTGATTGTCAGACCAATTGTGGTGATAGTAATGGCAAACAATGAGATCTACCTCTGAATCCAGGCGTTGTACTCAGTCTTCTGGAGTTTGGTCAGCAATTCGACGGCTTTCTTGATATCATCGCCTAAATTGAGTTTCTCTGGCGGCGAAGACGAGGCCATTAATGGATCCAATGGTACGACAATTGATTGAAACAAATGCCACCAAAAACGCAAATAAACAACAAATTGAGTAATGAATACAAAACTGATATTCAATTTCAATGCCTTTTGTGCGCAAACTCTGCCCTCAAATCCAATACTTTTTTCTATACAATCGACTCTTTAGTGAAAACTTTTGTTAAGCAAACAATTGATTGCAGAAAACATTTATATAATATCGCCGTTGAGTGTAATTAATGAGAGAAAAAGTAATTTCACGATTCATATCATCTATATATAAATATAAACGCATATCTGACACGCGTTTTGAAAATTTAAAATTCATTACATTTGATAGCCTTTCCGATAAGAAATGCCAAACCAGTGAATGTACCGTAGATTACAGTAGTATTGTATGGATTATACAAAACATCTGTCGATGAAGTCGTGATCATATTCTCGCCATAGTATGTCACTTGCGGTACATTTGCCATACAAACTACAACTCAAACTGACCCTCAATTTCATTCCCTTCCCTTTCTCTTAATTTTTGCTTAAATGGATTCCCGTCCCGACTTACGTGTCGGGAATCCCTTTCCCTTCCCTTAAATTGCCTTAAAAATTTGGATATAAAATGACAGTTGAAATGAGCATTTAATCTCACATTAATACATATGAAACGAAACTTTTAAACAAAAGCAGTAAAAAGCACATTAAGAGCGGCGTAACCAAGGGTTCCTCCCGAATAGCCAAACACCCGTGTATAAATGGTGTTACTTGGTCATCTCCTTGTAATTGAGCCTAATTCGCATATAATATATCATTTATATAAGATTATTCTTGATTTATAATTTATATTTTTTAAATTTATATTATTTATAAATTATAAATGTACAAGGATTACAAGCAATGCTATAGAACCCAACCCGCATTTACATTCAAGTAAATATAGTTCAATTGACTATATCACTTTTATATAATTTTAGCATTTTCAAGAAATTTTCAAAAATGTTCAAAGCAGTCTTATAGTCTATAACTTATAGAACTTGAAAATATCTCAGACTTTACTGTACAATGTACAGTGTACAATGTACAGTGTACAATGTACAGTGTACATGTTAGTTTTATAGCTTTTGATTAAACTAAATTTACCAATTCGGGTATGCTTCGGAAATGCTGGTAATAATATATGTGTATATCAGAGACATTAAAAGTATTAAACAAGACGGATAACTGACAATAAATTTGCGGACAAACATGTGTGAAAACAGTTGGATAACTAATAATTTATTAATACAAATCTGTTTATACCGAACAGCGGGTGATGGGTTTGGCCGTTATTTGAGAAAATGACAATAAATATAATATAATAAGAAGTTAATGCTTAAGGTGGTGGAGGTTCTATTTGAGTAGGGTCATTGGAGAAGGTGGTCATTGAATTGGTGTGTTAGGTGAGTTGGAGAGGGTGTCTAGAAAAAATGTGTCATTACCGTATGAACTACTTTGCCGTTCCATATGATGGGAAGTGTCTGTCAACGATGTCAACGATTATAAAAGCATTTTCGGGGCAAATATCACAGAACTCGTGGTTTTGAGATATAAAATATGGTATCGACTCTCAATTCTCACGCCAATTGAGTTATGAATCAATTAATTTCATAATAAATAATCTAAAACTTC